TAAATATGAGCAGAAACTTAAGGAAGGGGCATTGTTGGGTGTGTGCCAGGAGGTAGAGCCAGTCAGTGTTAAAGCAAAAAAATACAACTCTAAAGCAAGGACATACACTTCCAGAACATTTAACCGACTTCTATAAGAAGAGCATAGTCCATTTGTCATCATCACAGGCTCTTGAGGTTAGAGAACTTTTGGCGAATTATGTAGACGTCTTTTCGAAAGACCTTGTGGAGCACCGAATAAACACAGACAATCACCGTCCAATAAAGGTCCCTCCAAGAAGAATAGCTCCAGCAAAACGACAAGAGATGGATTAGGTCATGGAGGGCCTAATCAAGGAAGGAGTAGTCGAGAAATCAGATAGTCCCTGGTCAGCTCCCGTCGTGTTAGTCCAGAAGAAGGATGAGACCTAACATTGCTGTGTGGACTTCAGAGCTCTTAATAGTATAACCGAAAAAGACTCATACCCACTGCCAAGAATTGATGATACTCTTGATGCCCTATGTGGAGCCAGGTGGTTTTCAACTCTGGACTTAAAGTCAGGTTTACATCAAGTAAAAATGGCTGAAGCAGATAAACCCAAGACTGCATTTAGTTATGGCCAATGTCTGTGGCAATACCGTGTGATGCCATTCGGGCTTAGCAATGCTCCAGCGACATTGGAGAGGCTGATGGAAAGAGTATTGGAAGGCATACAATGGAGGATAGCCCTAGTGTACCTGGATGATGTCATCGTATTTGCAACAACTTTTGATGAGGAAATGTCCTGGCTGGAGGATGTATTCAAGCATTTGAGAGCAGCAAACCTCAAACTCCATCCCTAGAAATATCACTTATTCCAGAAAGAGGTCCTTTACTTAGGTCACATTATAAGTGAGAATGGTGTACAAACTGATCCTCATAAGGTGAAAGCAGTGCATGATCGTCCAACAGCAGGCAATGTGTGAGTGTTAAGAAGTTTCTTGGGACTCTGTACCCATTACCGGAAGTTTGTGAAGGACTTTGCAACTATAGCTGCTCCACTACATGATTTGACTAAAAAAGGCCAAAAGTTTGAATGGACAGTTTCTTGCCAGCATGCTTTCAAGACATTGAAAGGAAAAATTGGCCTCATCTCCACTTTTAAAGCTTCCAGATCCCTCACTGCCATTCATACTGGATTGTGATGCTAGTAATGTCGAAATTGAAGGAG